AAAAGGTGTTGGAATATTACATGTCGGTCAAAAATTCAAAAATAAATAGAAATAATCAAACCAAACATTATTAAACTTTAAGAAACATGTGAACTCCACATACAAACGCCTCCCACTTTCTAGCATGAAAGTTGTTGAATCGCTGCTCCTGGAAGGAAAGTAAATGCTGGCTTTGAGATGTGCTTAGGCGGGCACTTCTGTCACAGACAGTCCAAGTGTCTCCAATACTCTAGTACAAATGGGGCCTTTGGCTTCTTCACAAAGTATTATAAAAACTGAACCCAAACACTTAAAGTGTATCTTAAAAATGTAGTATGTTTCACATTCAGAAAAAAGCAACTGCATAATAAGTACATCTTGAATGCTATTATTAGTATTTATACCTTTTTTTGCTGGTGCTGTGAACTGTATCCTAATGAATCAATAATTTAAATTGCCTCTTAGTACATAGTAATTGGAGAATCAGGTTTTGGTCTAAATTATGTGTATTAACTCACTGCTCTAATACATGTTAACTGCCTTCAACTTTGTATCACTCTTCAGATATATAAAACCTTCTGGGTTGATCCCTCCAATAAAGCCACATCATGAATTGAACATAAAACAAAGCTCTGAAGTCTCAATAGGCTGTCTTTCTTCATTCATCTCTTCATTGGGAAAACTACGGAGCTTCACTTAGAATAATCTGAACCTATCTATTTCCTGTCATTGAACCTTGACATGAGAAGTACAGTCACACATTTCAAAAGAAATGTTCCATCTGAAAACTCTTTAACTCTTTCTCTTGATTATGTGAAAAATAACGCAACCTTCATATTGCCACCATTTTTGCCATTCTTTGCTAGTATGTATCCAGAAGGTGACATATACACAAATATAAACAAGTCCCCTGAAAAAGCAGTCCTAAAAATAAGTTTAGTATTTATGCATGAATCCAACAGTGATAGCCTTGACAAACGACTGACTCTTAGATGAAGTTACAAACAAAATGATGGAGCTAAGAAAGTTTATAATCTAATAATTACATAACAATGCTTGCTGTTTGCTATACCTTAATACTCTGGGTAATATTATATCCAGGATGGTCTGGTAATATATGTGTGTTTTGTCTTTGTGCGTGGGAGGGTTTTCTAAGTCCACAAACGATTATTTGATCTGGGCAAAGGTCATGAGAATTTTCAAATCCAAGGTATTACAGCATCTATGGGTCTGCCTATGGAGTCAGACGACTGCTGGGCCTCAGGGTTCCTAGCACCACAAAAATAACAGGCCTCCCATTATTCTGGTTCTTGTCTTGCAGTGCATTCCCCAGCAACCAGGAGCAACTCCCAAATCATTTCTGACTTCTCCGTGTTTCCCACCTGGGACAAAGACACTCTTTGGTAGTGCCATGACAACCACATCAGCGACACAGGCACTTGAGTTTATGAAGGAAAATGAAAATCCTGAAATGAAGCTAGGAGATAAAGGCTCACTATTCCTTGTTTCCAACTGGCAGGAAGTAATTAAAAAATTACTTTGACACGAAGCTGCTGGGGAGTGAATAGCTTGTAATGTGATAAGCAATGTCTAAGGACCTAGGACTTAAATAAAAAATATGAAAGTTGAATGACGTCATTCAAATACATCCCTACTGGTCCCCAAAACAGCCTGAAATCAAAAGAAAAAAACTTTTCAATGGTGACAGTCTTAAGAATTCTCAAGAGATGGTGGGGACATATTTTGTGATTTTTGGGGGGGAGGGGAGCGTAACTTGAGTTTGAAAAAATGGTTGACTTTAATAGTGATGGTAACTGAATGGCTTTCACTGTTGTACTGATCATATGGCTAGCAATTAAAAATTCAGAGTCAAGTAAAAAATACTTTTATCTAGAGTTAAGGTACCAAAAATTCATGAGCTTTATATGGCCCCAAAGCAGAAATCAGAAAAAGAAACAAAGTAAACTCTCCCACTATGATGAAGTAGACAACTTTGTTGACCAGAAGCATCATGAGTTTACATCTGTTGTTGGACAATATTTTCTTATGAGAATCTAGAAGTGGTTATAACTGTGTTATAACTCCTACCAGGTCTGCACTGGCCATAATTTATACTCCCGAGTATAAAACGGGTTTAGATCTTGTTCTTGAAAGTGCTTCTGTTATAAAATTTAATTCATTTATTCTCTAAGAGGAACAATTAGTGACCTCCTAAAATAAACAAAGGGGCTGGACCTGAACAAAGCTAGGATCCAGGAATTCAATCTAGTCATCTTGTGTGGGAAGAAGAGGACCAGCTACTAGAGGCATCAGCCACTGCCTCACGCACGGGGTGTGCATTAGCACAAAGCTGGAGTCAGAAACGTAGTCGGATTTTAAACCCACGTACTCTGATGTGGGATGTAAATATCTTAAACATTACGGTTAAATTATTGAAAGAATAATTTTATACAGCAGCTCTCAATCATAGGATTGAATCTTTTTGATTCTATACTTAAAATATATTTTTAAACAATTCTTACATGTTTCTGCATTTCAAAAATAATATGCTTTCCTAATTAAAATTTGATGAAAGAACTCTTAGTTCGCTCAATTTTCCACTTGTCATCCTTCATCAAGCCCATTCTTTAAATTACACACCTGGCAAAGAAGATTCTTTTGTCTTCCAGATTTGAATTTGGAGTTACCCCTTGATCACTCCCTAAACTTCCAACATTTGCTTCATCGTGTAACCCATTGGTTTCTCTTTAATCTCTGTCCAGTGTGCCTTCATCAATCTATTCCATTGCTGTTACTTTACCATGTCTCAGTTATAATTCCAAATACTTCTAACCAATATTTCTATTCTGGGAACTTTGGCAATTGCTGTGGGGGGACCTAGGCAATTACTGTGGGGACTAGCAAAACAGTAGAATATTTGGTTTCTTACTAATGAAATCCAATTGATCAGGAATGGGTTTGTTTGTGATTAAAACTCCTTCAGATGACTTGCTGTCAGAGAAATTTAGGAAGCCTATCCTCAAACACACGTCTACGTTACAGCTTATGTATGTTATTATTCTTTTTGTGATGTAGGAAAAATGATCTCACATGTCTCCTAAAAACACGTTTGACACACAGAAAAGGAAGTATTTAAGGCACTCTGACCTCCATTTTTAGTCAATATGTCCTCCTTTCTTGAAAGGTATCTTAATTCTGTTCAATTTCACATTTTAGAGTTACAGAATACATTACAAAAACATACTCATGATTTATGCTCAAATGTATTTAGTTCATGAAAACTATCAGTCTTGTGACCAATAATTTAAAACAATTTAAAACAATCGCAAGTCACAAACTAAACTTCTGACTCTCTCTAGGGAACACAGTTTCATTCCAATTACCCACGGTGATAATTCAAGGTTGACAATCAGAATTTTTAACAACAAAAATCATTAACTCCATGCTTTCAGAACATTCTAGAAGCGCCAAATGCCTCTTTTTTAGTTCAGTTTTAAGATGATTCATAGTAAACCAAAGAACTATTTTGCTTTGACCTATGACCACTAAAAGCCTTTCCAAAAATATTGTTAGTCTGTGTTCTACTTATAAGGGAAACTTCTGTTCATAATTGAAAAAAAAATAGACTTTAGCTTTCACATTTTTAAAAACTCCTCTTATTAAATAAATTGAGTATGTTTACACTGATATGACTATAACTGATACTTTGTACAAGTTCCCCAAATGCTGTTCCAACTATCCTTAAATCCTATATAATTATTTAAATGTATACACCCTGGCTGTTTTCTACTCCATCATCTAAAACTACAACAGGCATTAAAGATAGCATTTCTTGTAGTGCTCTTAATTGTAAAAACAAAAGCAAAAAAGCAATCTTCTCTTTCACTTTCCTGTAAATATCATAGTAAGGCAAAGGACCTGAGCTGATGTTTTTGGAATTAGTCATCTCTAACAAGGCACAGTTAGCAGCGTCCTGCGATGGCAGATGCAGCAAAAGGGAGGAAGCCCACAGCGCTCGATCTGCCTCCAGTTCTCCCACCCATTTCCACAGCATGCATCTACATCATCTCCTTGGAAAACATCAGATATTAATAGGATAGGACCAAAACTTAGAGAAAAAGCACTACCTGTCCTGTGACATAACCACTCTTCTGATTTAGAATGATGCTTTCAGAGATTGAAAATATAAGTGAAAAATAAGAGTAGAAACATGCACAACATGAAGTTGAACAACGTATAACTATTCAACTTTGACAAAACTCCTAACACGCAAATGATTTGCTCCTGATATCCATAATTAATAAAACAAAAATAGCCAGCATTAGCTAAATACTTAAGGTGGTTACAGCTACATTGGACAATTTTTGCGTATTATCTCTAATAATTACAACGATTAGAGCATACATCTTTATTCTCCATTTATAAAGAAATTGAACTCCAAAAACGTTAACTACTAACCTAAGATAACGAAATAACTTGATAGCGCAGTATGATTATCTAAATCTATCTGTAAAGCTCATTTCATTTCTGTACGTATGTGCCAACAACATAAAAATATCTTTTTAATATCAATTTATTTTCATTTTTATTTATAAAACAACCTTGACATGTAGGATTTGTCTTTAATAGTTCCAACTTATTGTAAAATTTTACTTATATCTCCTAATAAAAAGCTTTACAAAACAGATATTTTAGTCAAGCATAAATTTAACACATAAATCTCATTTTAAAATATATTAATAATTCATAACATAGATGCTTCTGGAAAGCATAAATATTTACAGATTTTGACATAAGCTAGAGAATAGCCTGAATGTCAATTGTTTAGAGAATTAATCACAAAGGATTGTGAAAATATGCCCAACAATTAATACTTACATACACAATGCAAAAAGAGAGCATATTTAAACATTGATAAACATTTGCTACCTCCACATTACCCACCAGCAGATGACCATCAGGTCTGGAAGGTGTTGGAAGCCTGTTCTCATTGCATGCTACAGTTACGTCAAGGAGCCTACCTCTGTATTGGAAGTCGGCAGACCTGTCCACGGGAGCGCGTTCTACAGCTGATCGCTTGTAGACGACGTGAATTCTTCCTTTCTCTTCCTCCATCTGCTTACCTCTTTCCAAGGGTTCAATGAAATACTCCTCATTATCACTTTTGATCATTCCAGCCTAGGAGAAGCAAAGGAGTGTTAATGCGCAGACGTTACCTTCAGATCACAAGCATATCTTTCAAATGGCAAGGCCGTAATTTATGAGATGCAATGTTGTTTCTTTCCGGATTTGACTGTAAATTTTAAACAGTTAAGCTATTTTTTATCAGTAATTCATAAAAGGTACTGATTCACATTTGACAAGAATGGCAAAAATTCCTATAAGGGATGACACAAATTTCCCAAGGAGTAAGAATAAGAAAATCATGCAATGTATCCGTATCATCAGACTGCAGAAGAAACGTCCTTAAATGTTCTACTCAGTACTCTCCTCCTACATGAAGCCGTCTGGGCCATGTAAATTCCAAATGCATTTCTAATTTCCCATAACAAACCAGATGTCAGGGATGGGAGGGTGTTTTTTTTGCTTTGTTTTAACTCATTGAAATGTTCGTCCCACACCAGCAAAGCGTGAGAACAAATCCCATATAGTACTCAGGAACGATATCTTTCAGCTTCTATGAAAAACACACATTCCTAACATGAAGAATGAGCTCATATTTGCCCTATCTTAACCAATGACTATATCTGTTTTATTCTTTAAGCAGCGTTTCTCACATCTCTCCCAACCTTCAATGTCTTGCATTTCTTTATTGTCTTTCTCTAATTGTTCCTTCTTCGGATTGTTTAGAAAACGCCAAGATTATATTCAGCAATATGGTTGCAGACAAATGATGTTTTGCCTACTAAGTTCTCTTCCTTATCAAATCCATAATACAGCCAAATAGTAGCTGCATATATCTACTTTAAAGGTCATGCATTAATAAATGGCATTCTTTTAAATATCAGCACATTTATTTGAGGAAAAAGTTGGAGAAACAATGTGTAAGTCTAGAAACTGCAGTTACACTAAAATACTTACCAGACTTACTCTTTTACTTGAGACCTTTAACTTGGTTGCTATTTTCACACCAGTGACTACAAGCTGTCAGAGAACACAAGCCAAGAAAGTACTTCTCCTAACTTCTGTTCTTATGGTATCAACTCACATGGAAGTGAAAGGTGGGTATTCAGATGCTAATGCCATGGCACAGCAAGTTAATCCTCTACCCAAAGGCACCTGAATCCAGTATGGGTGCAAGCACCTGTTCCAGACCCAATTCTCTGCTTACAGCTTGGGAAAGCAGTAGAGCATGGCCCAAGTCCTTGGAACCCTGCACCTACATGGGAGACCCAGAAGAGGTTTGGGTCAGCTCAGTTTATGGCTGCTGTCGCCATTTAAGGAGTGAACCAGTGGATACAGGACCTTCTATGTCTCTCCTTCTGTCTGTAAATCTGCCTTTCAAATAAAAATATGGCAAATATGTCTCTAACTGGAACTTTAGTATTATATATATATATATTCCAAGACAACATCACCATGGTTCTTGCACCAGATGTGGTTCTTCTCTGTGGAATAAATTTCTGCCTTCACTTAAAAGAACACCTAGCTAATGGATAGCAACATAATCTTCCAGATATGCATGCTAAAAACCAAGGGGTGTCAAAAATAGGAAAAAAATAAAAGGTTTCATTGATGCTAAAAAGAAATTTAAAATCCATTCAGTTTTTCACAATGCACATTTTTTTCATTAAATTTTGGAATATTGCTCTATTTATTTTTCTCATTTGACTAATTCTTACCTACTCCTATACTGTACATTTTTTTACAGGGGCACCTTTAATTCTTCCCTCTTCAGAGTTATCAATGGATTCACACACTCTGCAAGGACAAACTTTCCACATACTTTCCAAATTTCATTTTCATCTCTCCAACATTATGGTCTTATTTTATTCTATTATCAGTTAATTTCAACACTCTCTAATTGTGTCTTTCTTAGATAGAGACAGATTAATAATGTTCATAAAACACCCCCAAACTGCTTACAAAGTAAACGTGAATAACTTTCAGAAAACAACAGCATGCCCAAGGTGCGAAGATACAGTCTCACGTGTGACTTAACACAGCAGGAAGAATCCAGTGGCTCCATCATAGACACCAATCTACTGACAGTGATGCACATTGGAAAGTTGAAGTTGAGCAGCACTGGAGCTTCAGTGTTCATCTTCACTCCAGTCTTTTCCTCACCCTAAAGCCATGCAGTCACCTTACTCTTGACCTTGTATTCTCCTGTCCTATTTCATGCACACTTCCTTAGCCCCACACTGAATGATTCATCCAGATGACAAGAACTCCCGGACCCGAGGCTTTGCACAGAGTACGTGGGTTCTCCCAGATGAGTGCTGGCCCTGGGTGGAAGCAGTGCTACTAAAGCGACTTGCAGCTCGGAGCAATGGGTCACTGGTATGTGGTGCAGCAGGCAGTGGAGATGAGCTAACAGGTGCTTCAGGTCAACATTCCAATCTCAAGAACCATGACTCCACTTTCCTCACAAGGCCACAGACAAAACAAAGTGCACACACACAAAAAGCTCCTTTTAAAGCACAGAATATTTACGTTTCTGGCAACACAAGAACTGGGTTCCATGACCTCTACTAACTCCTCAAAACAGGCAGGAAATCTGGGAGTCTGTCCTTTTATTCATTAACCAAGGCCAAGTTCCATTAACAACAACAAAGTGCCTTATACAAAGCACTGTATTCAGCAGCACAGAAAAGAAAAAAAATCTCAGACATATTTGCCCTGCAGTCAACTAAATATAGTCAAATAAATAAAACACAGCCTAAAAGTATACAGTGAAGTATGCTTCAGGAGTCCAGAAAGTGATGTGGTCATTGAAAGCCAAATAAAGTCAAGATTTTTTTTTCCTTTATGATCTCACTGTGCCTAGCTATGAGCAGGAACTGATGATTCTCCATTAAAAATCATCTATTTCATCTGAAATCTCCCCAGTTCACAACACAAGTAACCTTCTCCTGAGCTCCATCTATCGTCTCACACTCACATAGAGCAGAGAGGCCAAAACTGCCCAAACTATTATGTTAACTTGGATAAGCCATGTAGCAAGTTAACCAAGCAGGTAAAGATTCAAATTAGTAGGAGCTTCTTCTGGGTCACGTGAGATTTCAGAACAGTTCTAGGCCCACCTAGAGGGGTTTCTGCTCCACACAGCCTCGCAGGGATCCAGGCTGAACATGCCCTGCCATATCAAAACCAGCCATTAGAGCCCGGCGCAGTGTGTAGCGCCTAAAGTCCTGACCTAGAATACTCTGGGATCCCATATGGGCACTGGGTCTAATCCTGGCGGCCCTACTTCGCATCCAGCCCCCTGCTTGTGGCCTGGGAAAGCAGTCAAGGAAGGGCCAAAGGCTTGGGTCCCTGCATCCGCAGAGAACACCCAGAAGAGGTTTCTGGCTCCTGGCTCCAGGTTGGTTCAGCTCCAGTTGTTGCGGCCGCTAGGGAAGTGAATCAGCTGACAGGAGATATTTTCCTGTCTCTCCTCCTTTCTGTATATCTGACTTTGCAATAAACATAAATAAATCTTTTTCAAAATAGCCATTAAAGTGACCCAAACAGAAACAGACACATCATGAGCAAGTTCACATTTTTACGAAGTAGCTCTGGTGACTATTCACATTTTAGACCTACTTCCCTGGGATGTATAGAGATATATGGCTCATAAACAACCGTAAAGAGGACCATGAAATGTAATCTGGCCAGGTTCCCAGGGAGAAGACCCAAATGCATTTTGATGAATAGATAAAAATTTCAAGTTTAAAAAAGATCATGTCACACTGCTTAAAACACCTCAATTGTTTCTCATTGCACTTGAAGCCATACCCATCACCACTGGTAGAAGGCCTGGTTTCAGCTTCACTCTGCTCTCACAGGCTGTAGCCACAAGAGATCACCATCCAGCCCTTGATATTCCTAAGCTCCCTAGAGCCCTACAGCTTTGAAATGCCTTTCTTTCTACTTAAAAGGTCCTGCTCTCATCACACACTTCATTGAATGCACTATATTTCATTCTCTAAATCTCAGCGGAAATATCACCTCCTTCTGTGATTTTCATACTTCTTCCCCCTACAGAAATCAGGTTCCCTCATCAAGGTGAACATCACAGCCATCCATTCTACTCAGAGCAATGTGTCCATCTGTCATGGCCCTTAACACAAACGTCAGGGTTGTGCTTAGGTGAATTGCAAACTTATGATCTCTTCCTCTCCCCTATGGGACTATCAGCCCCTGAGGAAGACAAATAGCTGACAATGTTTACGTTCAACATGCTTTTGATGAAAAACTACGTGATGAGTGATAGGAGTAAGGCAATGAATTTTTATAACACAGTTGTGGGGGTTTTCCAAACTGGAAGGTCTGCTAAGCTGGTGGCAGAAAGCACGGGTGGGGGTAGTGCAGGCTCGAGTGGCACTTCCAAGATGAAAGCTCACGGCGACGTGGAATAGGTCAGAACTGAAAGTAATGGAATCATCGCCTTTTGGACCTACAAAGGGACACTAAGAAAATGTGGACTGTGAGCTCCAAGTGAAGCGTGTGGAGATGTCCAATAATTCCTGAGTGGCTGCATGGCTGCATGGCTGCAGACACCACCTCCAACCTCATGTCAGAGACCAGCTGCTGAGATGAGCTCTTACTCCCACTCTGCAAGGTGTGACTGCAGGTGCCAGATGGGCTCCTCTTCTCTCTCTCTCTCTCTCTCTCTCTCTCTCTCTCTCTCTCTCTCTCTCTCTTCCTCCCTCTTACCCCTTTTCCACCCACACTTCTTCCTTTATGACAATCTCCTGGCCCAATGTCCGATGATGACAGTATCTCTCTCTGTGGGGCAATCCATGCTGGTGTGTGTGTGTGCGTGTGTGTGTGTGTGTGTATATACTCAAAAATGAGTATAGGTGCATGTCCACTGTCTCACATTTTAACTGAGTTTTATCATTTTGTGCGCCTTATATGAGGCAGCACTCACAGCTCATCTCTTCATGCATGAAAAGAGCCTGCAGTGAAACTAACATCCCCTTTCTCACATCAGTGTGCACACAAGGACAGGGAGTCGGTAGCTCAGAGAA